ACTTATGATTAGGACAAAGGAAGCACTCAATTTCTCAACTCCTGTGCTCAGGCCTGCAAAGAGAAGGTTCCAAGCTGTAAGTGCAGCCTAGAATGAAAGGGATGCAACTAATTATCAAAACAGTGTGCTGGTTGTAATGAAACCCCATTCTCTATAACTGCTGCAATATAACAAAAAGAAAAATAATAACAACTCATTGCAGAAACAAAGACAAAAAGATGCAAAAATTCTGCTGGATTCTTGCCAAGCCTGAGTGATAATAAAGGTGATGGGGTGGACAGTGTAGGGCCAAAAGGTGAAAATCTTGAGATTAAAATGAGGCTTCCTTGGTCCCCCAAAATCTGACAAGTTAGCGTGGTGTATAATAAAAACTGGGGGAAATCTCATGTGGGATGCAGTCTGGCTTCCAGGCCTCAGGCTGCCATATTGTTTTATGATGGATTCATAAACACTCCTTGATCCCAAAGCAGCCTTTCTGTTATTTGGGACCAAGGAGACTCAGTGCTGCCTGGTTTTGAGGCTACAGTCAGTCATTTTCAGGCTAATGTCTCTCAAGGCTTGTCCGTAATAAGATTAACCTCTGGGAAGAAGGGGATGGAAAAGTCCTTGCCAAGAATATTCTTTCATGGTCCCATATCAAATGGGGAGCCCTCCACCAGTTGTGTATGTGCAGTGAGCACTGGCTAGAACTCATTTAGTCATCTCAATCTGTCCTAGTAGCAGTTTTCAAAATTCAGCCTTTTTTTATTTGCCAATATCTTCTAGAAGACATTATTATTAAGGTAATATTAGCAAATTTCTGATAAAAAGAACAGGAATTCCTAGAAGATTCTGCAAAGGTTCAAAACATCATGTTAGCCAGATGCTGGTGGTTCAAGCCTGTAATTCTAGCTACTCAGAAGACTGAGATCTGAGGTTGGCAATCTAAAGCTAGCCTGGGTAGGAAGTCTGTGAGAATCTACCTCTATTCACTAGCAAAAAAAAAAAAAAAGCAAGAAATGGAGCTGGGTTCAAGTGGTAGAATGCTAGCCTTGAGCAAAAAAGCTCAAGCACAGTGCTCAGGACCTGAGTTCAAGCACTAGGAGCAGTATAAGAAAAGAAAAAAAAAGACATCCATGCTGCTGCTGCTCTGCTGGTAGTTGTGATGAGCAGCAAGTATAGGCACAGGAAATCAAAAACATGGGAAAGATTTTATATATATATATAGAGAGATATATAGATATATAATCATATATATGTAATTTTTACACCCAAGTTCAAAGTAGCATTATTCATAATAGCCAAAACAAACAACTCAAATGTCCAGCAATAGCTAAATTGATAGACAAAATTTAAAACTATTAACATTCAGACTTAAAATGGAAGAAAATTCTGACACATAATACAACCCAGCTAAACCTTTAAAAACATTAGACTACATGAAATGAACCAGATACAAAAGGACAAGAATAGTATGATTCTACTTGCATGAGTTATGTAACTGAATTCAAATTCACAGAGTAGAACGGTGGTTTCCCCTGCCAGGGGGGGGGGGCAGGACAACAGAATAGGGGACATTGTTAATTGGCATCATTTCAGTATGAGATGATGAAAAACTCCTGAAGATAGATAATAGCATTAGTTGAACTTAATGCAAGTTGAACTGCATGTAACTTAAAAATGGTTAAAATGAGCCGGGTGCTGGTGGCTCACCCCTGTATTCCTTGCTACTCAGGAGGCTGAGATCTAAGGATAGCATTTCAAAGCCAGCCCAGGCAGGAAAGTCCATGAGGCTCCTATCTCCAATAAACCACCAGAAAACCAGAAGTGGTACTATGGCTCAAGTAGAATGCTAGCCTTGAGATGAAGAACTCAGGGACAGCACCAGGCCCAGAGTTCAAGCCCCAGAACTGACCAAAAAGGAAAAAAAAAGATGGTAAGTTTGTCATCTCACATTTAAAAAAATGATGAAATGCTGTTTTCCTCTGCTGGGTCTTTGAAACTAGAGGGCAGTACATTTGAGGTTATCAGTTCTCTAAGAATCTTTTTTTTTTTTTTTTTCCTGACAGTACTAGGGTTTTAACTCAGGACCTTGAACTAGCTAAGTAAGTGCTCTCCCATAATGTAAAGCCCTGCTATTGACATCCTGTGATTCTAGAAGACCCTGATAAAACTCCACAGGGCACTCAGGTTTTGCCCAGAAATGCATACAGGGATTAAGTGCTTAGGCACTTCTAGTTGAGAGGACAAGGGAGTCATCTAGAATGTGAGGGACAGCCAAGGGAAGGCTTCAAGTAGTATGCATTTTAATTGGTCTTGGATTCACAAATGGCTTGCTGTCGTTCTGCTTATCTGTTTATAAGGACTGGTTAGACAGTGTTCCCAAAGCTTCATGCTTTACTAGCTTTCCTTACCTTGGCTAAAAGCTCATATTGCTAAGGTGTCAACTCAGAATTTTAGATTCAGTGAAGACAAAGATGAGGCTTGGGGCTGGGAAGTTGGCTCAGAGGTAGAGCACTTGCCTTGCATGCCTGAGGCCCTGGGTTCGATTCCTCAGCACCATATAAGCAAAAAGAAAAAAAGCCGGAAGTGGTGCTGTGGCTCAAGTGGTAGAGTGCTAGCCTTGAGCTGAAGAGCTGAGGGACAGCACTCAGGCCCCACAACTGGACCAAAAAAAAAAAAAAGATGAGGCTTGGACATTTTCATTTCCAGAAGCTTTCCCAGGTAAGCTAATACTGCCAGCTGAGGCCCACAGGATGGGAAGCTGTATGCTGAGGTCCACTGCATGTGACTGCTGGTTTGCATTTCAGGATCCCAGGAAAAATGACTTAAGGAACTGATTGAAAAACAAAACATTCTCAATCATTCCACATCTCTTGTCCAAAATAATTTTTAAAATCAAACATTTCAACACATATTATGCAGAAACCCATCTTGTAGAGATTACGTCTAAAGGTAAAAATTAATCTATGAGTAGAGGAAACTGCAATTATTCTTTCTTTCTCTCCCTCTTTCTTCTTTTTCTTTCTTTTTGCCAGTGCTGAGGCTTGAAATCCGGGCCTGGGCACTGTCCCTGAGCTTCTTTTACTCAAGGATAGCACTCTGCCACTTGAGCCACAGCATCACGTCTGGCTTTTTCTGTTTATGTGATACTGACAAATTGAACCCAGGGCTTCATGCATCTTAGGCAATCTGCACATATTTTCCTAGCAACCAACACTTGACAATAGTGCAAGTTTCACATGAGTTGTTTTAACAAAAGCCTAGGTATCAGCATGATGTCATTCCCACATGTTTACTCATGCAGTTATCATAATAGAACTCTTTGAAGTTCATGTCTTTTGTGTGTGTGTGTGTGTGTGTGTGTGTGTGTGTGTGTGTGTGTGTGTGTGTGTGTGTGTGTGTGTCCTAGGGCTTGAACTTTGGCCTGGGCACTATCCAAGTTGCTTTTTTTTCCCCTCAAGGCAAGCACTCTACCACTTGACTTACAGTTTCACTTACAGCTTTTATGCTGGTTAATTAGAGAAGAGTCTCACAGACTCTGCTTAGGCTGGCTACCATGTTTAGATCTCAGCTTTCTGTATAGTGTCTAGGATCACAGGTTTAAACCACCAGTACCTAGCCAAACTCATATGTTAAGCACAAAAAAACACACTCAAGATATGAAAGATTTTGCTGTGGAAAGGTAAGAGCCAAGTGATTCTATAAATGTTTCCCTTTCCTGAAACAACTGCCCAATAAATATGTGGGCTAATGACTTAAAGAGAGACTTCCCTGAAGAGGAAAGAAAGATGGCCAATAGACACATGAAGAAATGTTCAACCTCCCTAGCCATGAAAGAAATGCAAATCAAAACAACATGAGATACCACCTCACCCCAGTTAGAATGGCTATAATCAAGAAC